TGTTTAGCTTGGAGAAAAGCAAGCTGAGAGGGAACATGATAGCTATGTTTAAGTATTTGGAAGGATGTCATATTGAGGAGGGAGCAAGCTTGTTTTCTGCTGCTCTGGAGAGTGGGACACAGAGCAGTGAATTCAAACTGCAGAAAGAAAGATTCAACCTGAACATTAGGAAGAACTTCCTAATGGTGACAGCTGTTTGGAAGTGGAGTATGTTCCTTTGCAGGGTAGTGGAAGCTCCTTCTTTGGAGGCTTTTAAACAGATGCTGGATGGCCATCTGTCGGGGATGCTTTGATTGCATTTCCTGCATAGTAGGGGGATGGACTGGATGGCCCTTGTGATTTCTTTCAACTCTATGATGTCCATGTCAGTGGTTCCCAACCTGTGGTCCACAGACCACCAGTAGTCCACAAGAATGGAAATATGGTCTGCGACCTCACTGTTACTATACCGCTGAAATGAGATCAACTGGTCTTGTGCCAAGCCTTATTAAATATTTTTTCTGTGGGTGAGCAGATGGCAACTACTGGAAGGCATATGTTCTGTATCAGAAACTAGGGCTGATGTGGTCTATCTAATGCAATTTTCTGAAACAGCACTCCAAATAACCAAACCGCATCTAAAGTTGACCAAAAATGGATTCGTAACCCTTTTAGTACTAATGTTGGAGAGTGGTCCCTGGTTAAAGTGATCTGTGGTCAATTAAAAAAAAGGTTTGGAACCACTGGTCTATGATAATGACCTGGCAATTGTCGTTGCCAATTTGGACAGCTTTGAAAGATGACTCGATAAATTCAGGGAGGTTAGATTCAAGCCTTATGAGGAATTACTTGGAGTCAGTTTGGAGTAGAGAAGACTCAGAGGTGACATGAAACACACCTTTCAATACTTCTGCTTCTCCAGACTAATGGATTCAAATTACAAGAAAAGATATTCCACCTAAACATTAGGAAAAACTTTTTTGACTGAAAAAAATGGTTCACAGTGAAATAAAGTGTCTTGGAAGTTGGTGGACTCTCCATCTTTGTAGGTCTTCAAACAGAGGTTGAATCAGCATCTTTTAAAAGTGCTTTAGCTGTGTATCCCTGCATTGCAGTATGTTGACTCGATGGTCCTTATGGTCCCTTCCAGCACCAAGGTTCTATGACTCCTTCAATAGCCATATATTGCCTCCAGTCACCAGAGGCAGTTTGCATATGTATTATTTCAGTTATTTAAATACTGAGCTGGAATCCTGTAAGTAGCATAAATGTGTTTCATGTGAGGGTTATGTTTTTTGCTAAATGGGGTACAAGATGCTATTCTCTAATAGCCATTCAAACTCACCCTATCCAGACAGTTGCCAAGCTCCATGGGGGCTGCTGCTATGGTGGTGGTGGTGGTGGTGAGGGGTCACTATGCAATGGGGATAGCTTCCCTCTCCCCTTGCAATTTGCTGCAAAGACAGGGCAGATGAACTAGAATACTAGTATTCCTCTGCTATTCTCTCCAACAAACTGCAGATGAACCAGAAGCAATTTTGCTCCCTAGTCACCTCCCTCTGCTCCCCGCTGTATGCCTGTTTAATGGGGTTTGGTTACTGCCTGAGGGGGAGCCACAGAGCTCTCCTTCATGCTTCTCCCTGCTCTTCACATGGTAATTTTTGATTAGAAACCAGATATAAATTATTACTGATTGAGAGATACAAGGAAAGTGCACACAAACACATACAAATGGGGGGAGGCAGGGAGGGAGGGAGAGAGAGACAGAATATGCCACCGTTCTCCAAATTATTCAAGACAGGTTAAGGGAGGAAGATTAAAGAACTAATGGCACAGTGAAAACGTATGTTTAACAAACACAACAGAAAGAGAACAGCAGCAGTGATTTTAATTCAAGTACCATATATACTCGAGTATAAGCAGAGTTTCTCAGCCCTTTTTAAGTCAGAAAAAGCTCCCCTCGGCTTATACTCGAGTCAAAGTTATTTATTATTTTTCTCTGTTATTGGGTTAAACCACTGAGCTGCTGAACTGACTGACCAAAAGGTCGCCAGTTCAAATCCGGGGCGGGGTGAGCTCCCGCTGTTAGCCCCAGCTTCTGCCAACCTAGCAGTTCAAAAACATCAATAGGTAGTGCTCCAGCGGGAAGGTAACAGTGCTCTGTGCAGTTATGCCGGCCACATGACCTTGGAGGCATCTATTGACAACACTGGCTCTTTGGCATAGAAATGGAGATGACCACCAAACCCCAGAGTCAGACACAACTGGACTTAATGTCAGGGGAAAACCTTTACCTTATTATTATTATTATTATTATTATTATTATTATTACTACTACTACTACTACTATTATTATTAAATTTATTATTTTACTCTATTATTATTATAATCTTGTCTTAAATGTTATGTAAACATTCAAAAACATTTAACCTATTGATACCTCAATTAATGTAATTTTATTAGTATCTATTTTTATTTTGAAATTTACCAAAAAGCATTTCAAAACTCTGAATGGAGGGGAAGTTTAAATACTGCATTTTTATTGTCACACTTTTACATTTCCATCTTGCTTTTAGAGTTTGGGGACAGCAAGGGTTCTGTCAATTCTATTGAAAGCAAATTCTCAAGGCACTCATAATTATTACAAGTCCCTGAGCAATGGTCATGAAAAGGAATAAAGCTCTGTCCATATAATAGGAATTACACCCACAGCATTGTATCAAGGAAGTATTGATTGTATCTAAATAGTGGAAATAGCTTCTACAGAGATTTCTGTATGAGATCTTTGGTTAAAGGATATGAAATAAATATAGAGTCTACATACTGGAAAAGTGCCAGATGCTGTTTTATCTTGGAAGCTAAGTAGAGTCAGTCCTGGCTAAAACTTGGATATTAGACTGACCAATTGCAGGATATATTTCAGAAAAATGTATTGACAAAACCTCCTCTGAGTATTCCTAAGAAAACCCTATGAAATGCATGAGGTCATCACAACTAGACAGGCAACTTGAAAACACATATACATATATACATAAATAACTTAATAATTTAATAATAATAACAACAATATAAAATGTGTCAAACTCCCTGGGTTAAATTGCTGAGCTGCTGAACTCGCTGACCAAAAGGTTGGCAGTTTGAATCCAGGGAGCGGGGTGAGCTCCCACTGTTAGCCCCAGCTTCTGCCAACCTAGCAGTTCAAAGACATGCAAATGTGAATAGATCAGTAGGTACCTCCTTGGCAGGAAGGTAATGACACTCCTTGCAGTCATGCTGGAGTGCTGGCTCTCCAGCTTAGAAATGTAGATGAGCACCACCTCCCAGAGTCAGATGCGACTAGACTTAATGTAGGGAAAACCTTTACCTTTATATATATATACCATATATAAACATACCTCTCACCCTTCAAAGCCACATTTTACATCTTGCATGCTTAGCTTCTCCACTTACCTCAAGTATACCAGGCTTGAATATCAATTCTTAGTTCCAACTTCCCTTATCTATTTTAGAGGTGGTGTTGGAGAATCCAAGTGCCAATTTTCTTCCCTAGGGTCCTCCAAGAATAATACAAACTGTCAAAATTGCTCTGATCATCTAGAAGTTATCAAAAGTCAACTACTAGTTTTGGGGAAAAAACTTTGGCTTGTGTTGGGGATCCCAGCAACCTATTTAACAGATGAATGATTAAGGTAAAGGTAAAAAGTTTTCCCCTGACATTAGGTCCAGTTGTGTTCCATTTCTAAGCCAAAGAGCAGATGTTGTCTGTAGACACCTCCAAGGTCATGTGGCCAGCATGACTGCATGGAGCACCTTTACCTTCCCACAGGAGTGGTATCTATTGATTGATCTACTCACATTTGCATATTTTTGAACTGCTAGGTTGGCAGAAGCTGGGCTGACAGCAGGAGCTCATGCTGCTCCCTGGATTCGAACCTGCGACCTTTCGGTCAACAAGTTTAGCAGCTCAGTGGTCTAACCCACTGCACCACCAGGGGCTCCAACTACTAGAGATTTCCAGGAAAGATCATTCATTTTTATTTTGGCCATAAGCATGGAAGGACGAGAGGATACAAAAACATCCTTGGAGACAGTATGAGTCCCCTGGACTGCATTTTGTCCACTCCAGTCCAATCCTTCTTACCTCATATCACATTTGATTGACAAAATTATATTAAAGATTAGAAGTAACAAGACACAAACCTGTCAGATGAACCATGCAATGTCCAAATCTCCTTCTGTATAGATCTAGGCCACTGCAACATATTCCACACTTGTTCCTGTGGCTTGCAGGGCCTTAGCTAATAATATCCTAAAAACTCTTTACTTTACATTCCTTGGCACCTGAAGTAATTGTTTAATCAGAGTGCAGAAGGGCCTTGTTAAGAGCCCTCACTGCTTCTTCTTGAGCCCTCCTTTCCCAAGCCTATACTCAAAATGTGCCTACCTCTTATTCAACAATTTTGTGTACTATGTGTGCCATGTGCTGTGTTACAGGGACCTCCTTGCTGCCACTGAAACCTGTTGAGGACCCCAGGGCTTCCCAATCAACACATCTTATCTAGAATGATCAGCCTGCGCTGGGGAGGTCAGGAGGAAAGGGAGCATGGAGACTATGTTCCTTGCATTTTAATTTCATTCCCAAAGTCAGAAGAGTAAATCTGCTACCAGACACTCTCTAATGGTCTGGAGATCTTGACATAACAAACAGTTACAGCCACTGCAGACGCAGCTATAGTCTGGATGTCTGAAGTGCAGAACTAACTGCCATGTTTTCTTATCATTTTTTACTTTTCAGAAAGGCATAGACACATACAGGATTTGACAAGCGAATATTGCTATGCATCATGGCATGCTGCTTTTTACCTGTGACATGTCAGACATTTCTATTTCCCCACAAGAGAAAAAGATATAGCAGCCAAGAAAAATGGGATCTATCTGCATACTGAAGAAAGCAACTGTGTCACAATAAGTATCAAAAACAAATATATGGTGCATGCAATGTTCCTTTAGCTTTTTCCTACCTCTTCATACCACAGATGAACTTCCCAATTCACTGTACATCTTACCATATTCTGTGATCCATATATTATTTGCCAGGATACATTAGTACATCTACAGCAACATGTTTGCATAATCTCCAAGAACACTTTGAAACCATGATCTCATTTGAATCTCAGGGCAAACCCTTTGACGAAGGTTGGACCAATAGCACAGGATGTTCCCATATTCGAATACATGAACTGTGTATGGAAATGGATACCTGGGGAAAGAAATGCATGAGATTTGTTGCACATTCTTCTCCTGTCTGGTTGTTTATTGTTATTATTATTATTATTATTATTATTATTATTTATTATTATTATTATTATTACTTTTTGAAACACAGCAAGATTAGTCCACAGCAAACAAGATCACTATGCTGGTTGTTGTATTGGATCACATGTTGAACACTTCCCAAGTGTCTAGGACTATGTGATGTATTGGCGAATAATGCATGCAGTAGGGTGGCCTTTTGCAGTTGACAGATGGTAATTTTGTCAGCGTCAATTGTGTTTAAGTGCAGGCCAAGGTCTTTAGGCATTGCACCCAGTGTGCCGATCACTACTGGGACCACCTTGACTGGCTTGTGCCAGATACACAAAGTATTATGTTACTGTTATTTTTGAAACATCAGATGTGTTATCATTGGAACACAGATATCTATAACTAAGATACACAAAGTATTATTGTTGCTTTTATCATGACTTGTGTCAGAGTCTATTATTATTATTATTATTATTATCATCATCATCTTTATTTCTATCACTCCTTTCTCCCCATAGGAACTCAAGACTGCTAATAATAACATGGCACAACCCAATACAAATTTTAAACAAGGCAAATACAAACATTAACAAACAAAGACATATTGTTATCTTTGTTATCAGATGTGTTATCGTTGGAACACAGATATCTATAACTAAGATACACAAAGTATTACTGTTGCCTATATCATGACTTGTGTCAGAGTCAATTATTATTATTATTATTATTATTATTATTATTATTATTATTATCTTTATTTCTATCACTCCTTTCTCCCCCATAGGGACTCAAGGCTGCTAATAATAACATGGCACAACCCAATACACATTTTAAACAAGGCAAATACAAACATTAACAAACAAAGACATATTTGTGTCATGGACGAATATAAGGTAAAAATACAGTTAAAAAACAATAAAAATTACATTTGATTGATTTGTGCTGATTTTACCAAAGTCATAATCTACTGTACAATAATCACTACAGGAATATCTGCCGGTTGTCCAAGTGCCCTATGAGATCCAGAAGTGACTTCAGGCCAGTCATGCACTGACTGGATCAAAATTTGAGGGTTCCCAAAGCATCATATGTCTCACTAATTATCTTGATTAGTCCTAAGCCCTAATCAGAAAAGACCAGAGTTGAGTATGGACTCAAATTACCATTCTTGACAGCTACAATAGTACTTCTCTATTGTGCATATTCCATAGAAGTCCCTTGCAGAGAGTGATTTCCCTTGCAGTGAATTCCATCCATCTTGGTATTTAGCAGATATTTATCAAGTAGGCTGGGTGGAAGGAAGAATTCTCTATATAAGAAATATTCACTTCTCTCTGATCAAAATAGACCTCCCTGCTCATTCAACAACATTGGATTCAAGCCCCTTGGGACCCAAAACTGTTAGGGTTCTATTATTAGACGTAGATTTTTCTCCATAGGATCTTAAAGCATACATACGGTCTTACACACACGCACATGTGAGGCAGTTTGAGACAAGTCCAAGGTAACATACTGAGTTTCACGGTCAAGTAAAGATTTGAATCTAGGCATCTCTTTTCCTAGGTTACCACTCTAACAGCTACACCTCAGCTGCTCTGCTTCTGCTTTTCCTAGCTGTCACTGCCAGAGCTTGGCTGACAACTCATCTCACCCACCCCGCTCCCAATGTAACTTTTCCAAACTCAGCACTGCACCAATACCTCTTTATGGCTACTTAAGCCCCAGGATGGACTGTGGCATTGTGTGGGTGAATACCAGAAGAAAGCAGTGCCAGATTTTGTCTCTGGCAGCTTGTGAATTACTTCTTGGTCAAAGCTCTGCCCATTCTTGGGCACATTTAGGCACCTGCCAACTGACTTCCTTGGTTGTTTGGACTCATTCCCAAGGCAGGGCCATTCCTCATCTTATTTGCCTTTATAACCTCCAGTCTGAGAGACACCTATAGACTTTGTCCACAGTGCTGAGAAACTTTGCTTCAGTCCCAGGAGAAAAGGATAAGAGAACATGGGATGGAGGTACAGCACATGCACACACGAGAGAGACTGAGTGGCCCTGGGTAAGTCACACTTTCTCACCRGCAGAGAAAGGCAAATCTTGTAAATCTTCACACCCCCTCATAACAAATCTTGCTAAGACCACCCCCCCCCCCCAGGGTTGCTGTAAGTTTGATGTGCAGAACTGATGCAGTTTGACATTTTCACTGCCATGGCAAAGTGTGTGGGTGCCTCATCGAACTATAACTCAGGCATGGGCTAACTTGGGTTTCCCTCCAGGTGTTTGGACCAAAGAGCATTCTGAACTCCACCAACGATGGAATTGAACCAAACTTGATGGACAGAACTCCCATGACCAACAAAAAAAATTTGGAAGGATTTGGTGGGCATTGGCCTTGAGTTTTGGAGTTGTAGTTCACCTACATCCAGAGAGCACTGTGGACTCAAACAATGATGGATCTGGACCAAACTTGGCACGAATACATAATATGTCGAAATGTGAACACTGGTGGAATTTGGGGAAAACAGACATTGACATTTGGGAGTTATAGTTGTTGGGATTTATAGTTCACTTACAATCAAAGAGCATTCTGAACCCCACCAACGATAGAATCGGGCCAAGCTTCCCACACAGCACCCTCATGATCAACAGAAGATATTGTGTTTTCTGATGGTCTTTGGAGACTCCTCTGCTACCCCCCTCGTGCCCCCCCCCCGCAGGGGTCCCGACCCCCAAGCTGAGAAGACTGTTCTAGAGGAAAGGGTCCTGGGGACGCCCCACCCGCCGGCCGCCCTACCTCTCAGGCTCCTCCGGAGAGCGGGCTTCCTTCCCCGGCGGCTGTGGGGGGCTCATTCTCCGAGTGCGCCCACGGCCAACTTAGCAGCGCCTTGCCCCTGGAGCCCGAGGGCGCCTCTTGCCGCTCCGGGGCGCGCCTCCTCCGCGCAGGTGCCTCGCCTTCCGCCCAGCCGCGCCTCTGCCCAGCCAAGCCATCCTCGGCCTCTTCTGGCCAGCTGAGGCGCCTCGCCACCGACGTCCGTCCCCGACTTGCCCGCCCGCCCGCCTGCCTCCCACTAGGCACCGTCTCCAAATTCCTGCTTGGCCAGTCGGGAGGAGAAGCGCTGCCTTTCTTCGGCTTCCCTTCCCGTTCCTCCTCCTGTTGTCTCTCTCCAGATACAGGCGAGGAAGCCTGTTGCCCTGTTTGGTGGAAAGAGAAGCTCTTGGTAGGAGGCGGGCGGAGCAGCGGGAGGGAGCAGCAAGCGAAGCGCCTCTCTCTGCCCCTCATGCGCGTTTCCGCCCAGGCCCTTTGCAAAGCGGTGGATGGGTTCAGAGAGGAAGGGACACGCCGAGGGAGGGAGGGGGGAGCCTCGGAGCACAGAAGGACGCCTCGCCTGATGMTGTAACTGTCACACGAGAGAGAGAGAGAGAGAGATTGGAGAGGGAGAGAGCGCGGCTCTCCCTTGACACCCCACAGACCAGCGCAGCTCGCTCCCGCCTCAGTCACAAGCGCGGCTTGTGGGGACGAAGGGAGAGGGCCTCCTCCGTGGTGGCCACCCAGCTCTGGAACTCGCTCCCCAAGGAGATAAGGCAAGCGCCCACCCTGGCAGCCTTTAGGAAAAGCTTAAAAACTTGGCTTTTCCSTTGTGTGCTTTTGAGGAAGCACTAACAAATGCAAGACCGCATCTCCGTATATGAACCCACARGCTCCCTCCGTTCATCTGGAGAGGCCCTGCTCACGATTCCACCTGCGTTGCAGGCTCGTTTGGTGAGGACGAGGGACAGGGCCTTCMCTGTGGTTGCCCCCTGACTTTGGAACTCTCTRCCCAAAGACATTAGACTAGCACCCACGCTAGCAGTCTTTAGGAAGAATCTGAAGACCTGGCTATTCCGATGTGCCTTTCCTGAATAGGATAACCTCCAGCACTCTGTCCCAGAAGCACTTTATTAGAGCTTAAGACTCTGCACATTGCACTTGCCCAGAATCCCAACAATCACCTCTTACACCCAGCACTTTTTTAACCTGTACCCTTCATTGGCCCGGCCCTGTTTTTATTGCGTAACAGTGTAATTTTTGTTGTTGTTATTGCTTATGTTTTTAATTTGCTTGTATTATATTGTTATTGTATGTTGCTGTTGTTTGCGGCCTTGGCCTTTGTAAGCCGCATCGAGTCCTTCGGGAGATGCTAGCAGGGTACAAATAAAGTTTAATAATAATAATAAAATACTCCACATAGGCAGAAAAAAAAATGAAATGCAAAGATACAGAATGGGGAACGTGTGGCTCGAGAGCAATACATGTGAAAAAGATCTTGGAGTCCTCCTGGACAGCAAGTTAAACATGAGCCAACAATGTGATGTGGTGGCAAAAAAAGCCAATGAGATTTTAATCTGCATCAATAGGAGCATAGTGTCTAGATTCAGGGAAGTCATGCTACCCATGCTTTATTCTGCCTTGGTCCAACCCCATTCTATCAAGGAACAGGGAAATTACATTGAAAGCACCCCTGACAGATGGCCATCCAGCTTCTTTTTAAAAGCCTCCAAAGAAGGAGCCTCCACCACACTCCGGGGCAGAGAGTTCTACTGCTGAACAGCTCTCAGAGTTGGGAAGTTCTTCCTCATGTTCAGGTGGAATCTCCTTTCGTGTAGTTTGAAGCCATTGTTCCTTTTCCCCCCAAATATTTTTATTGGTTTTCTTAGAATACATCAATACATCAATACCTTCAATAATCTTATATTCCATCCTCAATTCATTACATCAACCAAAGTGTGTGTGTGTGTGTGTGTATGTATGTATGTGTATGTGTATATATATATATATATATATATATATATATATATCTTGTATATTTTTCCCCCACCTCTGCCCCCCCCCCCTTCCAAGCCACTTCAATTTGCATTCTCTTTCCAAAATACCATTTCTTCTTGTGGAGGTAATTTCCCGTCTACTTCTTTTAAGCCATTTTCAATAAATTTTCAATAAACTGGACGAAACCTGGCACAAATACCCAATATGCCCAAATTTGAATAGTGGTGGGGTTGGGAGCGGGGTTGATTTTGTCATTTGGGATTTGTAGCTGGGATTTATAGTTAACCTACAATCAAAGATTATTCTGAGCTCCACCAACAATGGAATTGAACTGAACTTGGCACACAGAACTCCCATACCAACAGAAAATATTGAAAGGGTTTGATGGGCATTGACCTTGAGTTTTGGAGTTGCAGTTTTTGCCTACATCCAGAGAGCACTATTGACTCAAACACTGATGGATCTGGACCAAACTTGGCATGAATCCTCAATATGCCCAAATGTGAACACTGGTGGAGTTTGGAGAAAATAGAGCTTGACATTTCAAAGTTGAAGTTGCTGGTATTTATAGTTCACGTACAAATTGGGAGTTGGACATTTTTATTTGTTTACCTTAGAATCCGTATCCTAAAGAGACCCTTCTAAACCTGCCAAGGTAATTTCTCAAACACACATTGCATATCTTCATGAAACACACAGGCTGGCATTCTGTTCAACAATTACAATACAAGATTGTAAACTGAATTTACAACCCCTTCATTGTTGAGGATTCATGGTTATCAACTACACAGCTCAACCAAAATAATAATAATAATAATCCTGGTGCCTTGGTTTTTAGGCCTGTTCCTGGGACTATTTGGGGTGCTGATTCAGAAAATTGCATTGGATAGACCACATTACTTCCATTTTCTTTGACATAGTTATCATTATTTTTTATGGCTGAGCAGACGAAGACTGGTATATGGCATATGTTCTGTATCTCAAAAATGAATGCTGATACGGAAAATGGAATCAGAAGGTTAAATATACTCAGAAGCAGGTCTAACTTTTGAAGCACCAGAATGTGTGTTGGCCAGTGTATCTATCCAACACAACATCAAAGCCCCGTCTTTACAGCCTGGCAGCAGCCTGGCAAAAGTGTTTCCAAGGTGCTGTGGATCAAGCACTGAGGAATGACACCTGCAGTACTCTCCCTGTTATAGCCAAGGTATATTCAGTATATTCAACTTCTCAGCCTGCTCATATAACTATAAAGAACAGAGTTTATCTTAGTATAGACTAGGAATGTAAGATAAATCTCATATGAACTCATATGAAGTGATACAAGCAAGTATTTCAGTGAGACTGTGCACCTATATCAGTCAGGATCATGAAGGAACTGGTTGGTTACAGTCTGGGATAAATGCCAGATGCTCTAGAATGCCAATAAAGATTAGAAATGCCTCCATAGCTGTGTGCAAGAGAGGAAGACCGTCAGGAGCCTGACCTGGGAATGAACCTCCTCACTGGTACACCAAGGCAAGTAGGATATAAGATAAGAGATGTGAAGCACAGGTAGTAAACCCCTTGGCTATGGATTATTTTGATGGGTCACTTCATAAGGAGATAATAAAAAGAAGTAGTTCTTATCAGGCTGCTTTCAGCATTCTTCCAGTGCAGAAGACAATGTGGTTAAACAGCACTTGCAGTTTCTAACATGCTGCCCTAAAATGCTGATTTATGTAGCTAAGATGGAAATCTAGATATTGTCGAAGGCAAGGAACATGAAAGGCACTGCAGACTACTTCAACCAGAGAAGTCAGCCATAGCAGAGCACCTGATGAACCAACCTGGACACAGCATATTATTTGAGAACACAGAAATGCTGGACCACTCTCAACAACCACCATGTCAGACTACACAGAGAAGCCATTGAAATCCACAAGCATGTGGACAATTTCAACAGAATGGAGGAAACCATGAAAATGAACAAAATCTGGCTACCAGTATTAAAAACTCTAAAATTACAACAGCAAAACAACAGAGAGGAAACAATCTGGGACATCTAATCACCTCTCAACAAAAGATTGCCCCAGGCACTGCCAGGCCATCAAATGCTAATCAAGGTGGTCAGTTGAAACATTCACACCTAGCTCCAGCAGACAAGAGTCCTTTGTCCCACCCTGGTCATTCCTCAGATATATAAACCCTTTTTCCTAGTTCCAACAGACCTCACTACCTCTGAGGATGCTTGCCATAGATGCAGGCGAAATGTCAGGGAGAAATGCCTCTAGAACATGGCCATATAGCCCAAAAAAACCTTCAACAACCCATGGAAATCTAGGCTAAACTAAGATATACTTATGTTTACTGAATGCTGTTGGTAGAAGTCCGTGGTGGTGCAATGGGTTAAACTCTTTGCTGGCAGGACTTTGCTGTCAGTCATCAGTCGTTGCATTTAAAGGATATATTATTGCATCTAGAGACTACCAGGAGTATCCCCTCATGCCCTTTCTTCTCTAGAAAGCCATATTTATTTATTTATTTATTTATTTATTTGGAGCATTTATTAACCGCCATTCTCAGCCCACTCGGGCGACTCACGGCGGTGTACAGTACAAAAGGCAATTCACACAAAGACAAGTACAACAGCATATTAACCATACAACAATACAACAGTTAAAATTACACTAACTAATCCGCTTCGTCTCGTAATAGAATCGTGACCAATCTCGTATTCCTTGTACCATTCCAGTCGTCTTTACCACATTACTATAGCACTTAATTAAATGCCCTCTCGAACAGCCACGTCTTGAGGCTTTTTCGGAAGGACAAAAGAGGGCGCCTGCCTGATGTCTGTAGGGAGAGTGTTATTATTCTGTTTCACCTCCAGAATGTGTGTTGGCCAGTGTATCTATCCAACACAACATCAAAGCCCCGTCTTTACAGCCTGGCAGCAGCCTGGCAAAAGTGTTTCCAAGGTGCTGTGGATCAAGCACTGAGGAATGACACCTGCAGTACTCTCCCTGTTATAGCCAAGGTATATTCAGTATATTCAACTTCTCAGCCTGCTCATATAACTATAAAGAACAGAGTTTATCTTAGTATAGACTAGGAATGTAAGATAAATCTCATATGAACTCATATGAAGTGATACAAGCAAGTATTTCAGTGAGACTGTGCACCTATATCAGTCAGGATCATGAAGGAACTGGTTGGTTACAGTCTGGGATAAATGCCAGATGCTCTAGAATGCCAATAAAGATTAGAAATGCCTCCATAGCTGTGTGCAAGAGAGGAAGACCGTCAGGAGCCTGACCTGGGAATGAACCTCCTCACTGGTACACCAAGGCAAGTAGGATATAAGATAAGAGATGTGAAGCACAGGTAGTAAACCCCTTGGCTATGGATTATTTTGATGGGTCACTTCATAAGGAGATAATAAAAAGAAGTAGTTCTTATCAGGCTGCTTTCAGCATTCTTCCAGTGCAGAAGACAATGTGGTTAAACAGCACTTGCAGTTTCTAACATGCTGCCCTAAAATGCTGATTTATGTAGCTAAGATGGAAATCTAGATATTGTCGAAGGCAAGGAACATGAAAGGCACTGCAGACTACTTCA